GCATGCCACGTGGCGAAAATAGAACGAACCGCGATTCCGCGGAATTGAGCAAAACTCTCGGAGATGTGTGAGTGAGTGGGGGCGGAACACCACGCGGCTCGCTCGGAATGCCAGCAGCACTAGTTGCGTGGAAGTGGTGGGTGGGTGGGGGGAGAGATGAGCTGCGCGGGAAACGGCAGCGCACATGCATGTGCCACTGCTGCCGAAGCAGCTGTCAGACGGCTCATACGCGTTGTGAGAAAGCTTGAATGCGGTTCACTTCTAGTTCATCCCACATTCAACACCTGCTCTACTGATCTAGCGTGATTCTTCCCGTACATCCTCGATAGAACCCGCTGAAAGATAACAGAGCAAGTGACTTTTGTGGGTCCTCTTCCTACACTTACCTTTCGCAAAAAATGTGAGACAAAACTGGCCAATTTGGCCTGTTCCGCGCCGAAGCTGCACTCATCTCGTTTCCCACGCAGATCGCCAGCGAGCGACCATCACCCAAATCTTTGCATGGCTTCAACCCTTGCTCAGGCGTTGTAGCTCTTCTTCCGCGGAAAATTGGGATGCTATCAACAGCATTGGCTGGACGGTCGCAGTATTAGGGAGGTCGTGACTAGGCAGAGGAGCACCTCATACGACCACGATGCTCACACCATACGTCAGACCGTCGCGTCGCTGCCTATCCCCCTCTTCCGCCCTCGCATTTCTGATCCATTCACTGCTCGCCTTCCTCCTTACCCTTGTCATTGTCCCCAGCATTCCAAATATTCGCTCATCAACTCATCCCGCTATTGCAAGTCATCTACCGTTAGCTTTGGTCCAAGCTCGCAATGTGCACAGCGGCGTCGATCAAGACAGCAAATCTGATATAAAATTCCATCATTCAGGCAGGCACGCATCCCACGTGGACCCATCCGAGCCGTCCGTTTACAAGGAGGGCGACGAGGTGGTGTTCCAGTGCCGCCACTCGCCGTCCGATCCCTGGGGTCCAGGACCCCTGTGCTTCGAATCCGGCCGTCCATTGTCCGTCTTCGTTGGTGTCAACATCTACCGTTACTGTAGCCTCGAGGTGCGAACTCCGTCGGAGTATGAACGTTTAGCGCAGCTGGTGCAGCAGGAGCTGACGTGGCAATGCCGCGTGGCAGCGGATCCCAGGAACCAGTCTTACGTTCCGCTTACCTTCCTCCTCATGGGCTCCTATCACAAGCTCAAAGACAGAAGCAGCAACAGCGGCACCATCAGCAGCAGCAGCAGCAGTAATACCAGCGACAGCAGCAGGAGCAACAAATCTGGGGCAACTGCAGGAGCTCTCAGCATAGCGAGCTCAGTAAAGGACATACTCAGAGTGAACAACCGTGTAAACCTAGTCTTCCATGCATACAAAAACCGAATCATCGGAGCTGCTGTGTACCCAGTAGCAGACCACATGCAGCTGGTTAAGCAGGGCGGGTTAGTGGGCCTGCATGGCTCCGTGGTGTGGTTTCACCATCACAGCTTTCAGACGGAGTCCAGTGTGGGGCTGAGGAGAGGAGGGGAGAGTGACTGGTGGTCGGTTGCAGGAGGGGAGGGTAGCTGGTCCAGAGAGGTGGGGATCGCCATGGCTAGTGGGTTCCTCTGCTCCCTCTTCACGCTTGTTATTGCGGTTGTGGTGTACCAAGGGCAGCTGAAGCCAGCTATTATCAGGAAATGCTTGAAAAAGGAGTGACTGTATAAAGAGGTGATGGACTGCTGTCAAGCTGTAATGTACACTCACTTCCATTTAAACAGCCGCTAGATCAGGCCCTCAGATATCAGCGTAAAGCACGCTGATTACGCTGATTTTGTAGCTCTGATTTCCGTTTTCCCTGAAAAATCAGTATATGCCTCATTTTTGCACTGTAATTTCAGTATTTGCAATTTTGCCACACTGACCATTTTGCGTGTTTCAGAACAAGTAACACTGACGAATCAGTATACTTCAGCGAGTCACACTGAAACGGACTTGACCGCCCGGGGGGGGGGGGGGGGTGGGGGGACGCGTTTACAGACTGTACCTTCCCACGAAACCCCACCCCACCCATACACTTGGAATCTTTTCACATGCGCTGTACTTACAGCATGTGCGCGCCGAACCGTTTTGCCTCGCTGGAAGCCATCACACCAGAGTACGATGAACCTAGTTCAACAACTGCCCAATGAGAACACAGACAGCACACCACTGCTGGCACGGTCCACACCAACACGCCATAAAATATGGCAGTGGGGTGGGTGGGGGTGTTGTCATCTTGCCTGGAAAGACGGAAACCCAGGACCACGATCCCTCGCCATGGCGGCTCGGGAGAGGGGGTACCCCCATCTGCTCCCTCATTCTGTTCCTGCACTCGTCGTGAACCCCTGCAGGAAGTGACGTTCGAGCTCAACCTGGCAGTAGCTTCCCTCTCAAGCTCGGCACGCTCAGCACAGCTGAGCAGCCATGGCGGATCCAACGCCCGGAGGTGACAACCCTGAATCCTTCCCAGCCACGAAGCCAGCCGCCCTTACTGGCCTAGACTTCTTACGACGAGCTTCAGCTGCTCCCGTGTTAGTCTCGCCATCAGCTCCTACCGTTGTTTTCCCTTCCTCAGGCCCCGAGGCACCTACCATCTGGACGCAGGGCGAGTGTTCGACGCATGCTGGCGCTGCCGCATTACCTCGTGTCGCTGCCGCATCAACTCCTGCCGCTGCCGCATTAACTCCTGACGCTGCCGCATCAACTCCTGACGCTGCCGCATCAACTCCTGACGCTGCCGCATCAACTCCTGACGCTGCCGCATCAACTCCTGCCGCTCCCGAACCCATACGGAACCGTCATCCTGTCGCTGCCGGAACTACTCGCATCGGACCCCGTCTCAAAAGGGGTATCAAAGTGACGTACCGCCAAACAAAGATCAACTGGGGTGCCAGTCAAGCTACGCCAACGTCTGGTGTGGGGAACTCCTCCCCGGAGGCCCGACAGCGTAAACAGAAGGGGAATGCGGTTGAGGTTACCTCCGAAACAGAACTGCCCGACATAGCCGAGGATAAATACCAGGATGCCTTATTTATGTTCAACAAACAGTGGTCTGACGACTATCCGTGGCTTGTTCTGTGTCAGACGAGTGCAGGATTCCCGTCAATCAAGTGCTCGGTCTGCATTGCGCACGGCGGTGTGGGCACGAACTTCGGCGCCAAAGGAGAAGGGGCGACCGATGTGCAGACCCAGGCAATGCGGAAGCATCAACGCACAAGGAAGCACCGTCGCGCTCTGCGCAGACAGAGGACAGCCGAGGCGGCGCTCAAAGCTAACCGCCGGATTGACGACAACAAGAAGGTGAAAGACGTCGAGAAGGAGCGCCTGCTCGCGCTATTTGAGACGGCACTCTTCATCGCTAAGTCCGACGCCCCGATCGAGATGTACGTCGACCTCGTCCAACATCTAGCGCAGCGTGGCACACTGGGCTTCCCAAAGAGCAGTTATGGTGCCTACTATACGACGTAAGTGACACTGCTCTAGTACATATCGTCGGGGGATGTGATATACGTGAAGCTATCACTAACCACACGCGTTGATGCCCGTGCAGGTACGGATTTGAAGAGATCACCGCCGCAATAGCGACATACCTTCGTGCGCGCCAGAGAGAATTCATTGATTCGAGTCCATTCATTGGTCTGAGCTGCGACGAGAGTACGGACCGCGTCAAAGGGAAGCACATGATTGTGTTTGTAACCTTTCTGCGTGAGCATGCCGTCACCACAGAGTTTCTGACTAACCTCTCCGTCGAGAAGTGTGATGCAGCATCTCTTTATGCTAAGATCACGGGATTCCTTGACAGTATTAGCCTGCCGCTGGAGAAGGTGGCGGGTATCAGCACCGATGGGGCACCTGTGATGATAGGCAACGACATCGGAGATCCCGCACGTGGTGGCTTCTCACTGCATCGCACACAGGTAAACTGTTGCTGTGGTGGTGTTGTTGCGGTATGAGATGTGCAACGTGGTATGTCGCAGTGCGAATTCTAACACCCCCACCCGTGCATTTCTACCCGTGGCAGGGAAGCGCTTGCTGCAAAGGAGGCGGCTAAGGCACTACCGGAGCTTGGCATAATCGACGCGGTTATCCGCGCAGTGGCGGAAGATCTCGGCAGATCCAGCAACTCCAACCGCAAGTTCAAGGAGCTGCAGAAGTGTTCACGCATACCAACCTCGAGGTCCAGGGGATCCACAGCGTCCGCTGGTTGAGTCGCGGCGATGCAATCGCACGATTCGTACGCGTTCTGCCTGCTGTCATCGTTATGCTCGAGGAGTCGGACAAGACGATGTACCACTTAGTAACGTCGTTCAAGTTTCATTACTTCCTGTTCTTCTTGGCAGATGTGCACACGGCACTCAACGCGCTCAACCTGCTATTCCAGAAGCGACAGGTGAGTTGTTGAGTTCCATTTTGCAGTTCTCTTCTTCTCCCAGGTACTTATCTTTTGTTTCGGTGTACCAATTCTCCCCCCACCAACAGGTCGACCTCACTGCAGTGCACTCCCAGGTGAGGCGGACCATCATCTACATGGAGCAGAGGTACCTGAACTGTGGCCAGCAGTTTGGCGGTGGGACCAGCGAGCTGCTGTCTGCTTTCCTCGCGCGGCATGCCTCGCCCGACTGCCGTGAAGTGACTGTGGAAGGGGTGGACAACGAGGGTCAGCCCCGTGTACACAAGTTCCAGCTGCACGAGGAGGCAGTCAAGGGATACACCACCAGCAGCGGGGACATGCAAGGCTGCTACACCTGCTGCCGCTCATTCGCCCGCGAGCTGGTGTACAACCTCGAGCTGCGCTTGGGAGACCTGACGCGCTTGAACGGGGCGAAGCTCTTCATGCCCCGCTCGTGGCCGAGGGGCGTCGAGGCAAGAGACGCAGAGTGCAAGGAGCACCTGCACGGCCTCGTCCATCTGTTTCAGGCCAAGAACCGGGACACGATCTTGCCTGGTGAGCGAGAAATAGATCCCCACTGACCTGCGTGTATGCATTGCCGTTTCCGTGGTTGCGTTATTCCCATGTTGTGCGCTTGACTTTCTACCCTGGTTGTGCTCAACCCGTTTCGCAGGTGTCCAGAAGCGTGCGGCACGAGCGGACCTGCGCACGTTCCTGCCGGTGCTCTCCACTGCCCCCAAGGAAGAGCAGCCCTTTCACGCAGGTTTGAAGGCCATCTTGCAGACCAACGACTGGCAGACCAGCTACCACAGCTTAGTCCGTCTGTGGGCTGCGGTCGCTGTTCTGCCTCTCAGCACAGTCGAGTGCGAGCGCGGGTTTTCCCGCCAGAATGTGATCAAGTCGTGGCGCCGGACGAGTCTCTGCAACGCCAAGCTGGGAGATTTGCTGGCAATGAGTCTGCTCGACTACGACATGGAGTGGGATAAGGTGCTGGACATCTGGCGGAGCACCAGGAAAAGGCGCCCCAGCAAGCGCAAGGAGCAAGCTGCGCCAGAGAAGGAGCGGGCCAAGGCCAAGTTTGTTAAGGGGAGTGGCTGCCGGGTGGTGGAGGAGGAGGACCTAGACGAGGGCATGTGTGGTTCTGCAGGCGATGGCAGTGAGAGTGATGACGATGCCAGTAGCAGTGGTGATGATGCGAGCGTTTCTTCTGATGAAGACATGACATGAGCTAGTTTGTTAGTGGTAGATTCAGCCAGCATGCGGTATTGGTGGTGCTGTTTGTCACAATGGTAACTTTGGACGCATCCATGCACTGTTGCATCAGCTCTGCTTTTTTGGTTTTTTTACACTGCAGGTTCAGTTTAGGAAAAAAAATTACACTGACAGTATCAGTATAAAGAAAACCACCAACGCTGATTTGGACACCTGGTTGGCAGGGGCACGCTGATCCATCAGCATACCCTCAAACCAATCTGAGGGCCTGCGCTAGATGTTGACACCAATGCTGTTCAGACTGGTCCAACGTGAAAAAGGTTGTGTCAAGTCATGAAACTGCTAGCAACAGAAACAGTCAAGGCACTACTACTAGCATAGCATGTTCCCTAGTAGCAAAACCATCAGGTGTCTACTTCCACACAGGTGGTGGCACAGACACCTTCCTTATTCAATCACAGTCTCTGCTTGGCCTAGGCATAGGTACCATAAATAACTGGATGGGCAAAAGCAGAAAGCAGCAAGAAAACAAGGAGCGGTAAAAGTTTTACGCGGCTTGAACAGCCATCTCAGCCAGCTGTTCGCCAGCAAATGGGCATCTCCCGCTTGTCTTCAACTCATGCCGCTGCTACCAGGATGACCGGTAATGCTCAAGGGAGAACTGTAAAGAACCTGGTCAAGAGGAGCTTCAAGCAGGGGTGACAAGGCAAGAGCTTTACTCAGGTCAGAGGAGCATGTGTGCGAAAGCTGTGGAGACAGCTTGGACTGGTGGACTGGGTAGTGGAGGGATGGTCAATGTGAGGAGAGCTTGAGAGCATACAGCAGCATTCTGCCATCCTCCAGCCCCACGAGGATGGCATCCTCCTCTGTCGTTGTGATCGACGCTGCTGGCGACCCCACCCCATCAAACATCAGCAACGGCTCCAGTGTATGCATGGATCTCACCACTACCATCCCAGCTTCTGTCCCCCCCCCTCCCCGACCACTGGCGCTCCCCCCCCTTCCACCACCCGTTCCTCCTGTGTCCCACCCTGCGCTGCACGCCGTGACAAGGAACTCTCCGCAACGAGATAAGGTAAGATGCGTGATCGGTTCGTCCACTAGTGCATGTTCCAGCCAACCCCCGTTGATGGAGCACACATGGAGCATGCGGGCGGCGTCGGAGTAGACTGCGACGCGAGCGAGAGGCACAGAGAGGGCGATTCTCAGCGCCTCATTTGCACAGTTGTTGGGGTGTTGCAGCGACCGGAGGAACCGGGCGGCACGGAGAGTGGAAAAGACGAGGGAGCCGTCCAGGGAGGCGGAGAGAATCAAATCTAGCTCAGAGGAGGCGATGACAGCCGTGACGGCATCGTCGTGGGAGCAGAGCACTGCGCGGGGCTTGGAGGAGATGAAGGGGTCGCCTTGCTCATGTGCGTGTGCACCCAGGTGGTCGATGCGCCAGATCATGACTGTTGTGTCACGGCTGCCTGTGGCCAGCCAGTTACCGTCGTTGGACACTGGGACAGCATACGTGGGAGAAGGAAAGGGGAGACGGACGTGAGGACGAAAGGGAATAGAGTGAATGATTTGCTGGTAAATGGTACTCGCGGCAGCTGATATGCTGATGGGAGTGTGCAGTTAGGGTTTCTGTGCTGCAACGGCTACCACAATGCAGGCAGACAACACAGGAACAAAGGCGCACCTGAAAGGCAAGTGACAAGGTCGCTGTGCTGCTGCAGCGCCTGAACAGTGGCAGCATCATCTACAGACGTGCTGCGAATGGCATTGTCCCAGTGCCCCCCCGAGAAGAGGAATGCTGATGTGGCTCCTGGTACGATTCCGAAGCAGTCGCCATAGCTGCTAGCTCCGGGAGCAGAGAGAGGCGCTCCAATCCTGCACACTCGGCTTGGCTCACCCACGCTGATGCTATAATCCTGTTGGGGGGAAAACAACAGGATTGGAGAGTGAGGGCAAGGCTCTTGAGTTACTTCAGTTTCGCATAAAGGCGAAAAGGAGGGATATAGGAAGGATCAGGTGCGAATGGAGGGAGGTCACTCCCAAACATCAAATTTTCCCCACAGCAGTGAAACTGCATCCATCACATAACATGGAATCCATTCAGCAATCACCCAGACACCGAACCAGAGCCCAGCATTCATCCACCCATCACCACACTCACCATGCCCACTTTCACGCGCTTCTTTGGAGCATTCCACGAGCGCACTGTCAGCACCTGCCCCCTCGTCACACTCACTACAGTACGACCCACCACCCCCATAAACACCACAGCCATATCATCCTCCGACCTCCCCTTGCCCCCCCGCGTCCTCCCTCCAGGACCCCCTACGCCCCCAGCAAAAGCGGGAACCACAGTGGAGGAAACAGCCGGGGTGGGGGGGGCTGGGATGATGGCGGAGAGGGAGATGGAGGACGGGAAGAAGTGGAGTGGGCGGGTGATTTGGACGTGCGGGCCGCGTTCCGGGTGGGGGCGTGTGAAGAGCTGGATGGGAGTCTGGCCAAAAGCGGCGATCTGCTGTTCGAAGGCTGTGCGCCTGGTCTGGTCGGTGATTGCATCAATGTCCACAGCGCCCTCGTAGGTGAGATAATAGAACACATTGTCCGCCTGGAGGAGCCAAGGATGGTAAGACAGGCAGAGGAGAAACAGGAGGAGAGCTGAATGGGAGATTGGTTTTACCGGGGTTTACCGGGAGAACCAAGAGCTCAGTAGCGCCCTCATGGGTGAGGTAGTAGAACAGGTTGGGCGGCTTGAGGGAGAAGCCGAGGGGGGCAGTGGGGCAGAGGAAAAGCAGGAGGAGAGCGGAACAGGAGCTTGGCTTATAAGAGCGAAATAAAAAACGCCCTTGCAGGAGAGGTGCCAAACGAGAAGACGGTATCACCAGATGACGTTACGAGGAGGGGGTCGTGGGTGGGTGGGGACTTCTATGTGTAATGTCATCCAGCTCTTTGCTTCCAAGGCGGCCTTTTACTAAGGCACTCATGCAAGTGCGGGTACGGAGTCCATAACCCAGGCACACCCTTCACAGAATCACCACTATACTTTCTTCATACTTCCATATTAGCATCTCATTTGAGGGCTTTCCCGCATGACGGGATGGTCCTGAGTCACCCACAGGCCCACACGCCCACATGCCCACCTGCCCACATGCCCACATGCCCACATGCCCACATGCCCACCTGCCCACATGCCCACATGCCCACATGCCCACCTGCCCACATGCCCACATGCCCACATGCCCACATACCCACATGCCCACATGGCCTCATGCCCACATGCCCACATGCCCACATGCCCACATGGCCTCATGCCCACATGCCCACATGCCCACATGCCCACATGCCCACGTGCCCACGTGCCCACATGGCCTCATGCCCACGTGCCCACGTGCCCACATGGCCTCATGCCCAGATGCCCACACCACTTGCGCACACGCCCACCTGAACAGCCGCCTCCCCCCGTTGCTTGTAGCCAAACACCAGGTCGATCCAGTGGTGCAGCCTCTCGCTCACATGCTCGCTCTCCAGGGCCTCCCGCTGCAGGCGCACAAACTCCTCCGGGGAGCCCTGGGGATCACAAGAAGGCAGGGTCAGAGGCAACAAGGATACAGCTGGGTTCATTTGCTCACTCCACAAGGCCTCTCACTGAAGGCGCAAAAACTCCTCTGGGAAGCCCTGATACCACAAGCAGGCAGAATCAGAGGCAACAAGGGCACAGCTGGGCTCACAGCTGGGCTCTACAGGGTCTCTCGCTGCAAATGCACAAACTCCTCCTGGGAGCCCTTTAGCAAGTGAGCAGGGTGAGAGGCAAGAAGAGGGATTGGTACAGCTGGGCCAGGTGCATTCAACATGGCTCACATGGTGGCTCCCCAGGGCCTCCTACTACACACGCACAAACCCCTTTGAGGAATCCTGCAGCACGCAGGGTGAAGGGCCAGCCTGAATGGATAGAAATACACTTCTTGACTGACATGGACTTTCGAGAACCTTCTGCTGCACTCGCGCACGCTCCTTGGAGGATTCACGTGGCAAGTGAGCTGGAACACAGGGAGGAGGGGAGTATAGCTAGTCTTACACCGAACAGCCTTGCTACCACAATTGCTTCAGCAGTGCACAAGATGGGTCAGAGCCTGCTGAGGTCATCAAAGAGAGATGACTGCTGCACTAACTCAAAAACCTCAAACAGCAACGCTCAGACAAGAGCCGCACACACCTTGGCCCAGGGAGGCAGGATGACACTGTCAAGCGCCTGCCCGTCCTGCCTGAGGCCCAGGTCGAAGCAGCAGTTGTTGCGCAGAAACTCCGGCTGGTAGAAGAACTCCGGCAGCAGCTCCTTCACGTCGCTCGTGTTGCTCTGGCAGTTGTCCCATGCTGACGCCACGCTGTCAAACAGACGATCCGCCTGGTCGAAACGCCCCCCCTGTTGCGAGGGAAGGCAGGAAATGGCGGTTGGAAAGAATAGAAGTCAGCAATAGCTCGCATTCCAATTCTCTGAACCTTGCTGAGACGATCCCGACCTGCGAAGAACTTTGTCGAAGGAATGGGTGAGGTGAGGGCACATGAGGGAGAGCTTGAAGGAGCGGTGGGGTATGTGCAAGAGCACTCAGATGTCAGGATGAACACCTTAAGGTTAACTTCATGTCCTTTTCAACAACATCGATGTAAGAAGTGGGAGCATTCACAGAACTTTACTCACCTGCAGCAGCCGGTGGAGCGTGGCGAAGGGTTCCATGCGGATGAGGAAGTAGAGCACGACACCAGCAGAGGAGTAATGCGATCCGTACAGGAAGCTGGCGGAGGGATGAGGCGGGGGGAGAGGGATGATGCATGAGGCATTGGGAGAGGACGAAGATGGTTGAGAGGCGATGGAGGGGGGAGCAGGGTGTGATGTGGGCCACAGGATACAGCGCATGGTTGCTGAAAACAATGTCGACGGCAGGAACAGAATCCATTCACATGGAGGCGTTAATTGTAGCATTCAGAACCCATTCACAAACAAATTGAACAATCAGAGCAAG